TAGCGTGACGGTGAAATGGTTAATGAAGCGTGAGTAATTGGGGTACGGGTATCGGCCGCGTTGGGACCCAAGGCCCATTGTTCTTCGTGACGCCGACGCAGTGATCAGGAGCGTGGGGACGAGAGGGCTTAGTGGACTCCTGTATGAGCCACGTTTAGCAAATGGTCTAATGAGTCTCGAGGCTCATCACAGATTGCACTTACCACTATCCTGGTGGCCCCGGCTATCAGAGCAAGGAGTACCAACTTTTGAAAAGGATAACAGTGTTGTGGAGATATGTCAAAGCAACGTTGTGAACAAAACGGAGTGAGTGAAATTCTCATTCAAGGAGTGCCGAACTGGTCAGCCATCCTCGAATCAGTTCGCTTGCTTCCGCTTATATATGCATATTTTAAATCAGCGCGCCCCATTCTAAGGTTTTTTTAAAAAAAACCAAGAAACGTAGACTCTTGGTATTCATTACACATAAACTAGCGAGCCCCAGAATGAGAAACAAATTTTAATCATTATTATTGACGGATTAGTAAACTTTTTACACGCTTTGGAAAATCTCAGAAGTTCGCGGTAGTCACTTTTCGGTAAGGAACTAGGGGACTCGGTTATTGTATCGAGGGGGGGGTCGAAACGATCGCAAAGGCGGTATACTACGTATACGCGCCAATACAAGGAAAATCCTCGAAAAGACGAGACACAGAATAAAGAATAAAACTAAGACCAAAGAATCAAGCATTATAAACAAAAGTAAAAAAGTCAATAACTTTAATCAGTAAATAACCAACCTAAGTAACCGGTTTAACCTTAGGAAAGTTTAGGATTTACCTAAGTAAAATATCGGAAAACAAGGCGTTCGCAACGAACACCCTTATAAACGATTTTTCATCCTTGCTTCGAATGGCAAAATATCAAAAATCGATCGTTCACGCCACACCATTGATTTTCAGGACAGCCTTTCGGCTGCAAAATGTATTCATGTCGAAAATAAATGGTAATTTTCGAAAATTTTTAGCCGTAAAATGACTTAGTGGTGCTTCAAGGTGCAAAAAATCGGAAAAAGTGGGTTCGTTGGAATGAACTTGTTTCCCGCTTTTGATTAGGTTTTTTTCCGAGCTGCTAAGAATAAATGAACGTATTTGTGCTGAAAGGAACTATGTGCATAGAGTTTCCGTGCAACATAGCTTCTTTTGGCATGAATTCGTTCAAATTAGCAGGGAAGCCGGACAACAAATCGAAACAAATACTATATCCTTCCTCTCGGGATTGAAGAAGTGTGGCCGGCGCGCGGTCAGAAACTTATTTTGTCTCTTCATCCCCTTGGAGGCTCGAAGAAGCCCTATTGTTGATTGTCATTAGGTCAAGTTTGATTCCCTCGATTGATTGCCATCGATTGCAAAGCGTGTTGTCGTTTGCGCTGTTTGGACTGACAATGAGTTTATCGCAAATGAACCAACCTACATTTTCGAAAAAATTGAGTTAAAAATGAGCCGCATATTTCCTCCTGCCAAAAACTGAAAGTCAAAAAACAGAAATTAGTTTGTGAAAAGAGGGGTTAAACTTCATTTTTTTTATTCTCTCGATTGATTGCAATCGATTGCAAAGCGTGTTGTTCGCGCTATTTAAACCGAGTTTATCGGAAAGGAACCAACCTACATTTTCGAAAAAATTGAGTTAAGAAAGTGCCGTATATTTTCTCCTGTTAAAAACTAAAAGTCGAAAAACAGAAACTACTTTGTGAAAAGAGGTGTTAAAGTTCATTCTTTTGATACTCTTGATTGATTGCAATCGATTGCAAAGCGTGTTGTTGTTCGCGCTGTTTAGACTGAGTTTATCGGAAAGGAACCAACCTACATTTTCGAAAAAATTGAGTTAAGAATGAGCCGCATAATTCCTCCTGCCAAAAACTGAAAGCCGAAAAACAGACATTAGTTTGTGAAGAGAGGGGTTCAAGTTTGTTCTCTACGTAGAGCCTTATGCAGGGATAAAACTTCTAACCTCTTCTTCTCAGTTTTAACTGAATGTGGGTTGGTTTCTAACTCGGTCCATTTGTGCTCTAGTGCGTCGCTCTTCGATCTCATTCTCTCTTTCAACTATATATAGTCTGAAAGCCTCGGGCCCTTCACATCCTATATGTGTATCTTTTTGTTCCGAATAGAGAATTAGAGACGAAGTAGAAAAGGAGGAAGAAGGAGAAGAGAAAGAACAAGAAGATAAAGACCGTGAAAAAATATTTCTCCTTTTGCTTTTCCTTCTCTCTTCCTTCCTTTTTCTTCTTCCTCTTTTTTTCTTCTCTTCTTCTATCATCCTCTTCCTTGTTCCTCTTCTTCTCCCTCAGTTTCTTCTTCTTTTTTTTTCGATTTATGATGTGGCCTCATCCGACATCAGTCAAGTGTCGTATGGTCTGACTACGTGAGACTAATTTCATGCTTCAAAGTTTAGTCGAAACAGTCATCGAGCTTAAAATTCTCTTTCAGTTAATGTTCCTCAATAATTGTCAATTATTCTCAAATTTGTCCTCCCTGCATTGAGGTATAAACAGCAAACTGCTTTAAATAGAACAGCACCTGAAAAAAAAACCGAAGACCTAATGAGTAAGATAGAATAATTGCAACCAATCATTCAGTAAGTACCAAATAACAAGTCTGAAGTAGATTTGAAGACTATGTATTCGCATGTGGAATTTAAACAAAGTTTCGTTCCTCTTTTACTTTTTCAAAAGAATATTACCTGACAAGTTCGCATGCAATTCTAGAAGGTTATGTATGCGAAAGAGCAAAGGAAAACCATCAGACTTTCTTTCAATAACTATAAATGGATTGCATTTTGCAAAAAGGAACACTAGCATTGCAATGATGCTAAGATTGTGCGCAACTTCATCCTTCGCAATAAAATTGCAGAAATCGTGAAAAACTATGAAATTTAGATGGTAATTTTTGTTTTAAATTCACAGTTTTTAGCGAGTAAAATAGAAACTATTAATGGATAATCGGGTTTTTCCTCCAAGACAAAAGAAGTTGGACAATCTTAGCAACATTGCAATGCTAGTGGTTCCTTTTTGCAAAATGCAATCCAAATGGGAGTCCCTAAAAAAATATAATTATGACAAGTGCTTCGCAACGTCGCGTCGCCAACCGAAATGCGTGTTTTTCTAGTTTCATCATCAATGTGCATTTTGCTATGCATAAATTTGAATGTCAAAGTAACGACTCCTCTTGACTAATCCCAGGATTAAGGGAGCCTTTTATTGGTCAGCCAACCCATCGATAAGGAGATGGAGGTGCGAGTACCCTCTTTTAATCAACGAGGTTATTGGAGCGAAACTTCCATTTCTACCCGACTAGTCCAGACCGGCAATGAAGGGATGTCTTCTCGCCATCCTAGCTTTCAAAGTCCACGTGAAAGCTCGTAAGAGCCAGAGCTTACTCGAATAAAACTCAGAAAGCCTGTATTCTTGTCACAACATATCAGTGCAAACCACTGACCAAATATTAAGGTTATACGTTTTGGAGTCTAAACGTACAATGAGGAAGAAGGGGTTGCGATTTTTCCCCTACTTTGTATGCAAAATGTTTTAGAGTTCATTTTAAAGAAAACGGGTAACCTTGGCCATATTTAAAGCAAGAACGTGTAGTCGATGAAGTTGCAAACCCCGCACTTTTTAAGAAAGTCCGTTGCATTTAAGATCAGAGACGAAGTATTTTAATCCCTTTCTTCATGGACAACTACCACATGAGTCTAACACTGTAATCATATTATTTGAAGAAAAAGAAACAGAAAAATCCTTTCAATGAAGGATTTAAAAGCCTCAATCAACATAAGTAATTTGCTCGCTTAGGACTGATAACTGGCGTTGAGCAATCCAAGTTGTAGACATCCAGTTATATGTCATTTTATCCACTTGAATAACTGCTCATCGCTAACTTCTCAGCAAAAATTCGGCAATAATAAACGAATAAATAATAAATTTCGGCAATAATAAATTGTCACAAGAAATAGTGAACTTTCAAACAAATTAAAATGGCGAAACCAATGGGTTTTTTTCTTTCTCTTTTTGTAAAAAGATAGACAAAAAGTAATATCATCGTGAATTCTCTTAAAAAAATTATCGTCGTTTTATATTGCTCGCAGTGGCGTGGCGTGCTTTGCGATATATCGATTGTTATGCCATTTAAACCTATGGAAAAGGATCGATAAACAGGGTGTTCGCAGCGAACACCTTGATAATCGATTCTTTACCATAGGTTTAAATGGCACAACTATCGATATATCGCAAAGCACGCTACGCCACTGATTGCTCGACCAGCCAAGGATGAATATAGTGGGGATTTTAAAGAATATCGGCTCGTTTTGAATGATTCAATTTGATCTTGCAATTTGGAACTACAATATCTAGCTCAGTTCAGAAACGAAGTATGTACCATTAGTTTCCCTATACTTATGCGCGTTTTTACAGATGGGTTAGAAATTGTAGTTCCTAATTGAAAAATTTAGTCGAATTCCACCAGGCCGATTTTTTCTTCATAATAATCAATTTCATGTTAACCAGCCTCGTTTGAACCTGGCCACTATACAATCAAGGACTATCTACTCGTCAAGCTCTACGATACCATTCCACAACTGACTGTCACCTGAACAAGCAGGTCTCAGGTTCCATTTAAATGCCGCGAGTTAGCGTAAACAATGGAAAAACACGGAGTAGATTATTTTTCCCGGCCGGTGAGCTTATCTGGCTAGACCAGCCTCCCTTAATTCTGGCCCGGTGAAATAGGGCTGTTTGTGAATACGGCTCTATTTTTCGTATCGCATGACAGTGAAAATAAAAACACAGCCGCTACCTCGTAAAATCCACTATTTTACAAGCGGCCCATTGAAACGGTGCTCCACGGAAAGGCTGCATAATGAGAATCTCCATCCAGATAGCATTTTTCTCCGTAGTTGAAACGTGCCGCTGCTCATTTCAATTCTAACTTTTTTCTATCCATTTTGTATTGTCTTTTTGCTTACAGTCGGTGCCAAAGCAGTGCAAGGCGCTAAGTCGATAGGAAGCTTCCTTTTCTCTGCGGTTAACAAAGCGGGGAAAACTGTCAGTGAAGCAAGTGCCAAAATAAAGAAAACGGTCGAAGAAAACGTGAGTGTTGCTTAATCTTTGTTCTTTTTTTTCTCTTTGTATTACCAAAATTTCCATCATTTTTTGTTCACAACCGCAGATGTTAAGAAATATCGAGTGTTCCTATTCCATGTCCGTCAAAAGTTCCGGGACTCGAAACTTTTTTGTTCCAATGTCTCTCCCCTCCTCCCCCCTATGACCGTCAAAAGTTCCGGGATTCCTTTTTGATTTTTTCAAAAGTTCCGAGAAAGTTCCGGAAAATGCAAAAGATCCGGGAAATATCCGGAATATCAAAAGTTCCGGGAATAATTCAGGAAAATCTCAAAAGTTCCGGAATCCTGAACTAGTTGCGGGAAATGGGAGCACTGGAAATATCTTCCAGGGCTTTTCAAGGGGACAATTTATCAATTTTCTTCCGTCTTGCGTTCGACGTGCATATGCTCGTGGAATGTATCAAGCCCATTTGGGCTGTTATTCGATATTCCTCGCATGACAGGGGCCTATTTGAATACACATAATGAAACTGTCTGCTTTCATACGCCAGCAATTTTTCAGCATATTTTTAAGCCGCGGCGAAGAATAGGATTTCCGTTCGCGGGGGCTTATATCAAAGTAAACTTTTTTGGGAAAAAAACAACTGAGATCGTCGTTTCTAAAACTAAGGAATGCAACTCAATCCTAGAGTTGAAACATTGACTCGGACAATGATTCACCTTTTAACGGGAATATGACTACAGTATCTGTCCAAAAATTTTCTTCTCGCCCGCAATCAGAGCAAGTTGACGAATTTGAAGTAAAAGTAACTATATTTATTCGTCATGAGCCCTGCTACCCATAAGAATGAATGCATGACCGGGCTTATTTCACAATGGGTGTAGTTCCGTTTTATTTAAAAACGTCCAAATTTCAGTGATAGTTTCAGTAAAAAGCGCCCAACAGTTCCCTCGGAAAGATACGATTTTGGTGTAAAAATTATGCAGCGGTGAAATGCCTGTTACGTTCTTCTTCATATAGGAAACTACGAAGTTTGTACATAGGCGTAATAGACCCATTTTTTGGCGAATTTTTATCTAGTAAAACAAGCATTTGATAATAAGTTTTTCGATTTTTCGATGTTTTTTTTTGTTTACTTCCGGTGTGGATTTACCTGAAGCCAAGCGGATGTTATTTTCTCTATGGGAGGGGGGGGGCATTAGAAAAAAAGGGCTCCAGTTTTGTGTAAATAGCGCCCCACAATTTTCCTCCCAGGGGAGCTGACGCTAAAGTCGAAGTTACGAATGTTCTCGGAGTTTTTCTCCGGGAGCCATCGATGGAGGAAGTAATGTCCTCGTATCTGTTGCTCCATCGCTCCGCTCGTTTCGTAAAAAGCTCCCTGCCCCCCGCCCCCCGCCCCCCATTTCCNNNNTCACCGCGCCCCGTCCGAAAAGGTCATTAAATGAGTTTCGGGCGTCTGGCAATATCCGCCCATGTCTGCAATGACAGGACAGCGGTAAAGCGAGGCGTAGTAGCCCGGTCCTAGACCGACAGTCTGCCGCCTTCGCATTCTCTCTTTCTCCCCCTCGGCCCCCACCCCTCCCCCCCAGAGCATTTTCCCCGACCCCTTTCCTCTGCTTTCGCGTTTTTCTTCGCTTTTCCAATTTTCATCTCCAATCGCATACGCTTCGCGTCGATTTCTCGTTCCATCTTTCCGGTTTCCCTGCCGACGCTGTTTCCAAATTGGCTGCAATCGTCAGATTTCGGGTTGAAACTAGAGTCCTTTTATACTGAGAGTAAAGACAATACGAATCCATTTCTGATTGGTTCCCGTATTTTAGGCCTCTACAATGAGAAAAAAATCTCGTGCGTGGGACCCGAAGTTTAGGTCACATGGATCTCTTAGCTGTCGAGGTTCGGATCACACTTCTGAAACTTCAGATGTGAGAACCGAAGTTTTTTACATGTGAAAACCGAAGTACTTCAGATGTAAGAACTGAAGCACTTCAGATGTAAGAACTGAAGTTTCAGATGTGTGATCCAAAGCTCAGCAGCTAGACCTAAAGTGTTCAGATGCTCAATCCGAAAACTTCAGAGATCTATATGACCTAAACTTCGGGTCCCACGGACGAAGTTTTTTTCTCCGTGTATAAAGTCACAAACAGGGATAAAGATTAGTTTTTCGTCAATTGCAAAGATTATAAACTCGAATGGACCTAGGAATAACGGGTTCGACAAGGAACAAACGGAGTGAGAGAAAGAATGGAGACGACAAGAATTCGGGGATAAGTTGATCAAAGATTACAAAAAACGTTATATTTGTCTATTCCTTATTCCCGTTTGTGACATCCATGAGCCGCGTTGTCTCAACTCTCGCTATATAGGGACTCTAGTTGAAGCTAGATGCCTGAACTTCAAACTAAAGCGTCTCATTTGAACACAATCGAATAGAGCAGGAGCCTCCCTATTTTGGGGGCTCGAAGGTAGGACATGAGATGAACTTTACCCGCAATCAAGAAGAAAGTTCGGTGTAAGATCCTGAACTTCGGTTCATATTGAACACCAAAGTTTTTAGGTTCAAGTAACTGAAGTTTTCAATGACAGGCACCAAACTTTGGGTCCTGTGACCGGAAATCTCAGATATCTGAACCGAAAAAGTCCAATACCCAGTATTGGGTTCCGTACACGCCGACGTTCAATATCTGTGAATGAACTTTCCTGAATCAAACGTTACTTCTTTCAAGTTTGATTTTGTGTTAAAAAAGCGAAATAGCCCTCCGACTTGAAACCTTATGAGAGCGTTCTTCATAAATTACCGGTAATTCTCAGAAAGTTTCAAGGCCTCATTTGTTTCAGTTCCCTGGCGATAAAATGAAACGAGAAGAAATTGAGACAATCTGAAATGCAGTTAGGTCATTTGAACTAAGCCACATTAGCTATTGCTAAATTTAACTGGGCCATGTAATTTTTAACAAGAGAACGTTTGTGCGGATTCCTTTGAAAATGTTAAGGAATTTGCTTCGCACTGTGCAGAATATTCACTCAAATTGGCACAAAAATCCGCACAACCGTTTTCTTATAAAAAATTGAATTGCCCAATTAAAGGCTGTAGCCGATGTAGCTTGGTTCCTTTTTTGCTTAGCGCGGTCCAATTTTGGTTCCTTGCGTCAAATCAATCATCACTAAAATGTTTTACACGTTATTTGTAACTAGAAAGACAAAATAATGTATTCCTTATCGCGTAACGCTCTCATTGCTCCATTTGTTTATGGTTTGTTCCGACACGGAAAAAAAAAATTGCTGATTCAACAATTCAATTGCTAAAAACAGTGAGTGCAATGTTTCAACGCAGATTTTACAACAAAAAAATGCTACCATAACCACCCCCGTGGTTAAATTAGTTTACAATGTGGTTAAAGTAGCATTTTTTTGTTGTAAAATCTGCGTTGAAACATTGCACTCACTGTTTTTAGCAATTGAATTGTTGAATCAGCAATTTTTTTTCCCCCGTGGAGTTCCACCTTGTTTACTCCTTTCGCCTGTGTCAACTTCACTATCCCTTCTCCCGCTTCGTGTCAGTGGCGAGGCGTGAATGATCGATAATCGATTTTTCCCCATTTGAAGCTGTAGTAAAGTATCGATTATCAAGGTGTTCGTTGCGAACACCCTGTTTATCGATCCTTTTCCACAGGTTTAAATGGCGGATCGATCGATACATCGCAAAGCACGCCACGCCACTGCTTCGCGTCTAAAGAGCTTTGATGAAACGTCGGGAATCTTTCGCGGGGATCCCCTTAAGATGAGCGCGCTGTGAATAAAAAAGACGCGAGACCTATCGTCTCCGATTTCAAAGACGCGCCAGTGAGCGAGCCTCGCTAACAAGTGTATAATCCAGTTATTGAAATACTGACTTCAATGGTGTCAAAAGAACGCCATCAAAGATGCCCAGATCTCTCTCAGGAGGGAATATCACCTTGCTTCCATTAGTCCCCAAGCCCTGGAGCTTTAGTGGAACATCAGTGAGTTGCGCGAACTGCGAGGATTTTCGCGAAGATACTCTAATGAGAAAGGGTCTTAAATCTAGAAGACGAGTAATTTTGTCTACTTCTAGTAGTCATGCACGATATACCCGGCTGTCCAATGGACCATATCCGATACACAAACGGGTGAGATTGTGTCGATATCGATTGGTTCTACTGTGAACATAGTTTTTTTTTTTTTTTTGGTTGGCAGGTTTAATGGCTTATACCTCTTATCAGAGGTTCACAGCCAACTAAAGACAAAGATTTAATGTCCTTAGACAACAAGGCAATGGAGAATTTGCAAGGGTCTGAAACTTGATGAATTTCGTGTTTAAGTGGAATCTACTGAGTGAATTGAACACGAAGATACCTTTAATTCATAAATTGAGCAATTATTAGAGGAGATACAACAAAATAATCGATTCTGCTAAAATACATGTGTTTAAATGGGAAATGCCGCCGGATGACGTCACAAGGCGGCATATTTTCTCACTTTTAAATCAATTTTTCTCCAATTTCCCATGTCAGAAAAAAATTATGAAAAATATTGCGAACTCAGCTCATTAAGCACTTTCAGATGAAGCAATAAAAAAATTGCGTGCAAATTCTCCATAGGGACATCCATGCTCCGGGTTTAAAATTTTCAGAAATCCGAGTAGAATCTGTTTCCGCAGATCCACTCGTCAGTTCCGTGAAAATTTGAATTCTACAAATCTCGTGCATGACACTTAGAGTACCTCTTCAGCATTCTTTCTCATTCGAGGATTCAGCCTTAGCTACCCTCGTGTAAGAAATGAAATTCATCTCGTTTCGAGGAGTTTCTATTTTACACCTACCTATTTTGCCAGAAATACGGCAGTGCCTTCGGCTTTTGTTTAAAATCGATTTTCAAGCTCAAAAATGTTTTTAATGCCAGGCCGTGACGGAGGAAGCTCCGGGAAAGAGCATCACGTTTACATATTCAATCAAATCTCCATGCAGATATAGATTTGAATAGATTAGCGGAGTTGTCTTGACTGTCGGTTA